GGCGAAGAAGAACAGTTTTTGCCGGATTATTACGATCCGCTATCAGCCATTCCAGATATCAACCCGAGATTACAGTGGGTGGAAGATGCGGATGGCAATCTGGTTGAACAGTCGGGAGAATTTCTTCGAATGGTACCTGCTGGACATTTTACCGCACCGAAAAGTTTCTTGACTGGCAAAGTTGAGGCCAATATGAAGCAAATGCAAGAAACGAGAAAGCTGTGTTCCAAGATTGGTGTTATAAAGCAAATGCAATTGCAGGCGCAGGTAAGATTGAGCTGATGTTGGCGAGAGATTGATTTTTGCTAATCCTCCATGCAGATGTACAACAATCAATTTCCCAAGTATGAGCCTGAGCCCTTTGTAGAAACAGATATCGAACCACATGTCACTTCAGATGATGGTCCTATCATGTCTTCTTGGGTTTGTAGGGCTGCAATGCAACGATCTGTCGCCAAGCTTTGCTATCATGCTGGGTTTGAAGAATTGCAACCGTCTGCGTTAGATGTTATAACTGATATTGCCGGAGACTTCTTTGGCAAAATTGTCAAAACCTTTGGTGTTTATCGAGAAGCGCATAAAGTCCCTGCTGCACCTGGCACTGGAAGTAAATGGCAAGAACGTTATACCAACGAAGAAGTCGTCTTGCATAGTTTGGGTGAAAACGGTATGGATATAGAAGCCTTGGAAAGCTACGTTAAAGATGATGTTGAGCGTCTCGGAACCAAACTTTCGGTCATGCATGAACGCATGAAGGCTCATCTTACAGATCTACTCAGACCCGCTCTGCAAGATAATAGTCAGGATGGATCCGGTGCATTCAACGAAGGCAGTGAACAATTTGTTGGTGGTGACTTTGCAGCAGAACTTGGCGAAGATTACTTTGGTTTCAAGGCCCTTGGTTTGGATAGTGAATTCTCAATGACAAGTCTTGGCGTACCGCTCCATCTCCTCCATACGAGAGTTCGTAGCGCATACCAAGGACCCACCGCTGCAGCGCCCCAAGCCGAAATTTTCGCACAACTCGAACCTTTACCACCTATTACAAAGGAAAGCATCACCAGTCAAATTGGACTGGTCAAGAACTTCTTCCTCGCTAAGTTACATGCGAATGATGATGAACCGCTACTAGAAGACGAGGAACTGACTGGGAAACAAAAACCCACTCGGCCACGTCTGGGTCCGACGGGTAAAATTACAAGTCCGAGAAAGAGACCTCTTAAAGAACAGAGTGGTAATGCGAAGAAGAAGAAGAAATTGGATAATGGATCAGCGGTCGATTCACAACTGTCGATTAAGACGGGTGGGAGCGGAAGTCCACAGAAGGGTAAGGGTGAGAAGGGCAAGTCAGGATTGCCAAATGGAAGTGCGGGGAGCGTGGAGGAGAGCATGGATGGGAATAGTCCGGTGGAAAAAGATGATGGGGCGACGATTCCAATGAGCCCGGAGAGTATTGGGGAGAGGTAATGGGGTTGTGTGAGGGGAGGGTGGGCTATATAAAAGTTTTTGGGTGGGTGGTTGGTTGGTTGGTTGTATTGGGCTTTGCGTATGCATGGCGGTGGTGTTGGGTGGCTATTTCTGGGAGGGGGAGAGTAGAATTGAATGGGATGGATATGATGGGATGTACACATTCACGATCCTATATTTTCCTTCGAATCAGATCGAGGAAAGTAAAGGAACACGGGAAAGACAAGAGTGAAATGTGAAGTGTGCTCGCTGGTTGAAACCACTCACAGAAAAATAACCCGAGTATCAAGCATCTAGCATCATGGATCGGAATGGACGGGCGGTATGATAGCAGAAAGATAGAAACTCAGTATACTCGTACATATGGGAAAGGGATGGATGGGTGGATGGGCGGTCGTTTTCCAACGGTACCAGCTGGCTCCACACCGGAGATGATCATCTGGGTAGGATATGGATGGGATAGTATAGGATAGGGTAGGGTAGGGTAGGGTGGGAAACTTTGATATCACCATGATGAATTTTAAGAGAGCGCGCCGAGTATCTCGAGTATCTCGAGCAGAGAAGAGCAGAGCAGAGCAGAGCAGAGCAGAGCAATTCAGTTAATTAGTTCGTGTTATATGTATTAAGATTTATCACTCTTTTTTTTCCCTCTCTCATTGCATGATGTGTTTTTTTGGTGCTTTTTGCTGGTGCTTTTTGCTTTCTGTGTCTTGTGTTTTGTGTTTTGTGTCTTGTGTCTTGCAGCTTGAGTTTGAGTTGAGTTGAGTTGAGTATACAATGGTATGCTAGGGGTACTTGGGCTTGCAAGGACAGGCAGATAGGGAAGGGAATAGAAGGGGATAAAGAATTTTCGCTTGAATGAGTGTGATATTTGATGTTCATTTATTATTTTTTTGGTAAACAACGAAGAATGGATGTGATTAGATGGATGATTAAACTCTTTTCTTGCTGGTTATGTATATCCATTCGTTTGTTTGTTTGGTTTTGGAAGTGTTTGTGTGTATGTGTGTATGTGTGTATGTGTGGTGAATGGGATGGGATGGATGGGATGGATAGGATGTGCATCTTTTGGGACATTTCTTTCTGTGGTGAGGCGATGAGGGAATGATTCATGAGTATGGGTATGAGCAAGAGTATGGGATGTGATGTGTGGATGGGGTTTCTGGGTTGTATGCTAGGTAGTGGGTGGGGATGTTGTTTGGTGGATTGGATTGGATTGGTTTGGTTAGGGATTTGGGAGGGGAAGAGGAAGGGAGAGGGAAAAGAGGAAAAGTATATGCGAATGATGTTTATATTTATATTTATATTCAAGAATCAAGAATCAAGATAGACGATATGATGCGAAGTTATGCGAAGCTATTGAATTGGAAAGGGGATGCGCGAATAAGTCAATTTGTATTCTAGAGGAGGGATCAGATGGGGTTCGATATGTTCCCGGGCAGTTTCGAGATTCGAGACTTGAGTAGAAATCTAGAAGGGGAGTGTGTGTGGTCTGATGGACACTCTGATTGGGGGGAGAGATTGGGAAGTGGAAACGGAGAGTTGGATGTTTGGGTCTGCGGAGCTGGCTGGCGGGTAGGAGCACGTACTTGGGAATGGAACCTGAGGAAAATTATATGGATATTTAGGTTGTTATTATATGGTGTTTTGGTGGATTGAGGTGTGCGTGCTTGTGTGACTGTGATTGCTGTATAATACCTAGATGGCTTTGAAGAGCCTTCTAGACTCTAGAGAGAGCATTATTTATAAGATTGAGATTTAAACGATCCTAATGAGCTCCTAAATCTACATCTTCACATGTGACTAGCTTGGTACTTTGTATCGAAATCAGAAGTTGTGTGTGTTAATTAAGAATACGCGGGAGGAGAATGAGATCTTGTATGGTCGAAGTCACTTCTTGCTCGCTCTACTATGAATACGTCAAACGTATATCTAGTACGTAGGAAACGTAGTAAATGGGATATCTAACGCCCTTGGCCATGCAAATGCTCCAGTACATACATACTTTTGTGTGTATATTTTATACATTCCTGATGATATTAACGCCCGCCTGCCTTACTTTTGCTTGATTTCTGTGAAGTACTTTTGATGTATGTTTGCTAGCTGGTATGGTTTTAGGCTGCGACTTGGGGTTGAGCCCCTTGGGTCTCGGATTGGAGTTTTATTATCTGAGGAGGTGTTAGTTTAGGTTCTGGGGGGGATTGGAAGGGGCAACATACCTCCATCTTCAAGCCGTCACTTTTGTCCTGTACGTCTTTGATAGCTTGTTCGACTCGTTTTCTAAATAGGCGAGAGACAAAAAGTATTAGAGATTCATTTGTTCTCAAATTCATCTGGAAAGATTACTCCGAAACTCCATTCCGAAAGTCCCATGAGTAAAACATCCGATAGTGTTGCGGAAGAAAGTATGGAATGTAAAGTGTAGAAAGAGGAGATAAGGTACGCACATTTCCTTCTCGATAAATTCTAATCTTCCGTCAACGGCCATGACAGCTTCGGTTTTATCTTGCTTTAGGAGGACTGGGCCGACGAGCTTGTAGATGTTGGAGTCGGAGGAGAGGGCGGAGAATTCCTGAGGGTAGCGGGGTTAGTGCGATTCTGGGATTGGAATTGAGAGAATGTCGGGAGATGGAAAGGTGTGGGATATGAATTGGAATGAGAGAAAGGGGAGATGTACCTTTTGAACGCTCTTGTTTTCTTGTTGTTGGGATTCAAGCTTTTGGCGGGAAGAAATGGAACTTTGGAGATCTGGGGGAGGTTAATACATGGCGGGAAGAAGTAACGGAGAGGAGAGGTGAAAATGACCAGTTTGGAGTTTTTGATATTCCTCGGTGAGAGCTTGGAGACGCTGCTGCTGTTCTGCCATGGTGAGGATGTGAGGGTATTTGGTTTCTGGTCTGGAGCTTTGAGGAGTTGAATAGGCTGATTATACTCTGCGAAGATTACTTTTTCTGTGCGAGGAAAGCTGCAAATTGTACCAATAGATTGCGATTATGAGCGCCACAAATCGACCGTCTTATAATGTAGTCGTAGAGAATTAAAATAATTTGTCTGTGAATAGTATTCCAATATCGAAATTTCGTAAGTTTCTCTTATCCAGTATCAAATTATTGAGATGATGTCTAGCGCAATCGCGGGGCAACCAAAACACCGCCAAGCTCACAAGCTCAAGCGACAACCTAGACTTTCGAATTCTCAATATCCTCCACAGATTCATACCCCAAGATACATAGGACGAGAATACCGGGCGCATAGAGAAGTAATATACTGGTCTGGTCCATTAATACTCATTCTTATAGTCCTACAGAGTTTAAGTCGTACTCTCTTTGTTGGCCAAGGTTATCGTCGTCATTCTACCAAATTCGAGACTTGTTCAAGTCAATTACAACGACATTTAAACCAAACGTCAATCTTGGTGTCCTTTGACAAGAAAAAGAGGCGCCGTGTAAATAATCGCCTGGAGTTCCATTACTATCGAATCAAGCTTCTCTATCTAGACTTCAACATCAACACTCGCAAACCCCACCCTCAAGATGTCGAACACCGATTTCCTTGGGCGGGCCATAGACGTGGTTAAGAAAGCCATCGAAGCCGATACCGCAGCGGAATATGATAAAGCATATCAACTCTACTACCAATCTCTTGAACTCTTCATGCTCGCTCTCAAATGGGAGAAAAATGCCAAATCCAAGGAAATGATCCGCGCCAAAGCTGGCGAATACATGGAGCGAGCTGAAAAATTAAAAACACATCTTGCAGATGCGGAAGGCAAACGAAAGAAACCCAGTATGATGGGAGCGAATGGGAGTTCGACGGGAGGAAAAGCAAATGAAGAGGAAGGGGATCCAGAGAGTAAAAAGTTGAGAAATGCATTGCAAGGAGCCATTCTACAGGATAAACCAAACATCAAGTGGGAGGACGTAGCGGGTTTGGAGGCCGCAAAGGAGGCGCTTAAGGAGGCTGTCATTCTGCCAATTAAGTTTCCACATTTGTTCACGGGGAAAAGACAACCTTGGAAGGGTATTCTGCTTTATGGACCACCAGGAACAGGAAAGAGTTATCTGGCCAAGGCAGTAGCTACGGAAGCAAACAGTACGTTCTTCAGTGTGAGCAGTTCGGATTTGGTCAGTAAGTGGATGGGAGAGAGTGAAAGGTACGTTTCCCGAATTTCTACTATGGAGCTATATGCATGTCTGACAATTCAATAGATTAGTCAAACAACTATTTACCATGGCCCGCGAAAACAAACCCTCTATCATCTTCATCGATGAAGTAGACGCTCTTTGCGGACCCAGAGGAGAAGGAGAATCAGAAGCCTCGAGACGTATCAAAACCGAAATGCTTGTCCAAATGGATGGTGTAGGAAGAGACAGCCGAGGCGTATTAGTCCTAGGTGCTACCAATATCCCCTGGCAATTAGATGCTGCCATTCGACGTCGTTTCCAACGCCGTGTTCATATTTCTCTTCCAGATTTACCTGCACGAACTAAAATGTTTGAGATCAGTGTCGGAACTACTCCTTGTGAATTGGTGGCCTCTGATTATAGAAAGTTGGGGGAACTGAGTGAGGGCTACTCGGGAAGTGATATCAGTATTGCGGTTCAAGATGCTTTGATGCAACCTGTACGGAAAATCCAAACTGCTACACATTATAAAAAGGTAAGGTCTCCAATATCACCTAAAAATATCCTCTTCGATTTCAATAAATAAAGATGTGACTAACTCCACAAAAGGTCATGTCCGATGGAATAGAAAAACTAACTCCCTGCTCACCCGGTGACGCAGGAGCCATGGAAATGTCCTGGACAGAGGTCGATTCGGATAAGCTTCTTGAGCCACCTCTTCAAGTAAAAGATTTCATCAAAGCTATCAAGGGGGCTAGACCTACTGTTTCCCAAGAAGATATCCAAAGGAGCACGGATTGGACCAATGAGTTTGGTAGTGAAGGTGCTTGATTATGTTTTGCCTTGATACTTAGTAATAGCAAGGAAAGAAAGCATAGCTGCAAGGAGTGGTTGGGGGAGAGGAGTATGGGATGGGGCATGCTGGCGAAGAAGGCGTTTATAAATGGAAAGCGTTCTAAACTTAAATGAACGTCCGGCACAAGTCGATTTAAATGAATGCTACGAGTTAAGAAAGGTAAAGAGCTACAAGAATAAGATTACATATATGTCAATAATGTCAAGCAAGTCTCACAGATTGATAATTCAAGATCAAGTCCAGGTCACATGGAAAAAGAGAGATCATCCGTAGAAGTAATGAGTTATATGCTTTTTTCCAATTTTATGCACCTCATAGTGTCTAGCCAAGCCATATAAAATACCACCACAAGCCAGAGCTTCTACGGTAAGATTGTTAACAAAAAAGTAGTCCTCAACGCCCATAATAACACAGCTATACTCCGCCATTGATGACCCAGCTGCCCGAAATTTACAAGATGAGATGATAGGAGAAAGAAAGAAAAGGAGAAGGACGTCTAGACCATGTTTACGATGATGAAGGCGACATTTATTCCGCCTTGCTCTTCTTCTTCTTTTTCTTCTCGCCCTCTTCTTCTCCGTTGGCTTCGCTGTGTTTACGCTTTTTGTCCTTCTTCTCACTCTTTTCGCTCTTGTCTTTCTTTTCCTTCTTCTCTTTCTTGTCCTTGGATTTCTTCTCTTGTTTGGAGACGGAAGTTGGGGCGATGTCAGCCATTTCGGTATCTTCGGCGGTTGGGTCTTCAACGTTGATGTCACCGAGAACAGCATCCATTGCTTTTTTCTATTAAAATATGTTAGTCAATAGATCAAGATTGAAGATTTCTCGGAGTTCTTACCATGGCATCTTGGTTCTTTGTTGGTGCGGTACCAGTAGCATAGAAATCTAATCTTTCTTCGACTTGGGCTCTCAAAGCCTCACCGAATTTGTTTGTTGGTGCCTCAGAGAAGTTATCGATTCTGCTTGCAATACTGCACTTGTTGGCCAAAAATCTGGAGATACGCCCCTTGTTCTTTGCGCCTGCACGACCAATGAAGCTGGAGTGGTAGATTAATCCGTATTTAGGTGTGTTACCCTTGGTCTTGAGTGCTCTGAACAAGGCCTTCTCAGCACCGAGAATTTGGACAGTGGAGGCTGGGTATTTGGAAAGGTTGGTAAGGGAACCGGCGTGAGAGATAAGTCTGGCAGCAACAACTTCACCAATCAAAGCGGCCAAGTTAGGTGCAACAATTGCCATTTTATCTGTCAAGTATTGGAAAAGGGACCTTCTGTATTCGGCGAGCTTGACGACACGGTTTGCAAATGCGGAAACATTCTCCATATCATTGACTGAGATATCTTGACCCATGGAAACCTTTGCAGCATCAATGATCGATTGCGCCTTATCTCCATCATCGTCAACGAGGGCGGCAATGTCGTGTAAATTTTCGTCGGTCAAGTTCTTCTTGTTACCAATTGCCAAAGCAAGTTTGGCATATGTGTGGTTATCCGAGACGAGTCGGACAAGTTCTGGGAAGTGCCATCCGTACCATTCACGGACACGCATGGAGAAAGTGTTAACGGCCTTGTCGAGATGATCCAAAGTAGCGATAGCTTGAATAATGTGGTTGTCGTTCTTCTGAACTGAGAACTTAACCTTAGCGCGCGAATATGCGTGTCCAAGACCCAATTGAGCTCTCTCGACATCACCCTCTTGTAAACCCTTCAACAACTTTGGTGCGTGCAATCGCAATCCTCTGAGTAAGTCTGCGACAACCTCGGAAGTTTCACCAGTCTCACAAGAAACACCTGGGAATTCCTCCTTGATGCTACCAGCCAAAGTCTTGTCGGAAACACCGAGAATAGTCTTCTTCTTCTTCGATGGCTTTGGCATGTTCAATTCCAAGTTCGACTTCAAGTAATCGGAAAGTACACCCTCGGAGATCATGTTAATATTTTCGAGCGCCTCAGCAGCATTTCTAGAGTAATTGTCAATTCAGACTCTCCGCTCTGCAAGGAATTGAATAGCTAACCTGTATGGCGCAAAATTGACAAGCTTGACCATTTTGCCAAATTTCGCAAGATCTTGACCTGCATCTTGAACTTCCTTCAATCGATTGCCAATTGTGTCAGCTTGGTGCACAACCTGGAAGATTGCGAAACCAGTGGCCGACTCATGGAGAAGATAATCAACGGCAGACATCTTGTCGATATAATGTTGTCGTTGTTGGTGGTTGACTTGTTGGGTTGAAAGTTAAGCTTCCACAAATTTTCAGAAGCTCCTAGGATTATTTTTTTCGTCGTGGGATGCCCGTGAAATGCGCTAGGCTCAAAAAATTCCCAGTAGTTTTTGCCGATTTGTCACGTGATATGATTCGCTTGGTCTTTACACTTTCAGGCGAACTAACTACAGAGTAGACTACCTAGTAGATACCCAGGTTCGAACTGGAATTATACCTCACATGGATGCTCCACCACTCCTACACACACAGAACTCAATTCCTTCGACGGCAACTACAAAGTAATCAATCTCATAATACAATAACGATAAAGCTGTCTGTACATAGTCTTTATTGTCGTGTTACACCTCGTGTTTCTTCCTCTTCCACGGCTGCCGCAGACAGATTGAATTGCAACAGTTCCAAGCTTCCAAGTATCAACATTGATTTACTCAACCTGCCATTCACGACCACCTCTTGAGAGATTAGAATAACTTTTATCAAGGTAAGGCCCGACCAAAAGCACACGATATCTAGCAGAGATGAATTCGATTTCCATCAGCATCTTTCGAATGGTTCGACAGTTTTATTTTCAGCACTTCCATAGGGACTCTTTGATTGAACTCTGTGTCACACGCGTAGTTTGATGTACCACAGTTACGTACATATCAAGATGTTTTTATGATTCGTTAACTATGCAGCGGGACCTTGTTGTTGCTCAACGCAATTTGCTTTCTTTTCTTCTTTGTGTCAACTTGTTCCTTGTGAGATGGTAGCTTTCTAGTAGACGCCCTTACAAAAAGACACCAATCAGAATCGATTTCGTCGAAACTTGTTTCACCTTTTGCCAGAGTTGTGCCATTGATGCAGTAGCTCACTCTTGCGTGGGTTTCCTTGTTGCTGTTTACTTCTTCGTCTTCGAAATGGATTCCCACTCCTTTCAAAGCACTCTCTTGCCCAGATAATGTCAATATATTTGATAACCAAAGACGGAGAACAATGCAAGTGGGATAGCAGCAATACTGTCGATTCAAACCATGAAGGCAAGCATGATGTGATAATTATACTTCACTTAATTGTTTTCATTTATGTGAATCGTATTCCAGTCGCATGCATCTCCTATCAATTATCCCACATCCATCTCTTGAATTCTGTACTAACACGAATTTGGTAGATTCTCAAATCGTTGTTGGTGATGAAATGACGAGCAACCAAGCTATGTCCCAATGCACCAAGCCTAGGCAGAATCTCACTCCCGACCTTTGCCAAAGCTCTGTCCAGGTTGTCAACCGCCCTCCCGCTACAAATGCTATCCAGGATATTCAGCCAGGCCCTGTTGACAGCCCAGACACCATCCAAGAGTCTCTACAACACATGAGGATTGTGCCAGCTAATACAAACATGGAAACAAAGCTTTCGCCGATCACACTCGAACACAGGACAGAGAGAGAACGCGTTTTCACTATTTTCTCTTCCCTCCCTAAGGAATTACAGCTCCAAATATGGAAAGAAGCAATCTTCGAAGATGACCTCGGCCATGTCACCGAAGTGTTTTACGTTTCCGATTCAAAAACAGCACAACCAAATCCTCGATTCGTTCAAAACAGGCACCCCTCTCCCCTCTTTTTTACCTGTCGAGTCTCACGTGAGGTGGCCCTCGGAGAATTCAATGCTCTTTTTTTGCAATATGGATACAAAGATCTCCGCGCTCCATCTATACCCGTCTACTCTCGGTGCTCTGATGTCATTTATCTTCAATACAAGTCTGTAACCAATCGCTCCCGCGACTTTACGCAAAATGCTCTTGATGCACCATGCATTGTCCTCAATGCCGTCAACCAAGGTATCACGAAGCTTGCAGTCAACCTATGTTATTGGTCCTGCCAGGCATTGCTACGAGAATTTGATATCTTCAAGAAGCTCAATCATTTGTATATTGTGGTTGAGGATCCGGACGGTGCTGAGCCGCATCGTTACAACACAGGTCATGTTCCTAAGGGAAGACGCTTGTATATGTGCAAAGAGCTTCCGGAGCCTAGAAATATTTCCTTGGAAGAAAGTCAGATACTTCCCACATTGAAACAGATCTTTGCACATATGCAAAAGGACGACCCGGAATGGGTGCCACCAACTGTGGATGTGGTGGGCATGAGGGCATTGTAGAACAGACAGTGATGGAGAGGCGTTCACTGGATAATTTACGATAGGCCCACGGATCCAACGATAGGCGTGCTCTGGGGGAAGAAAGCAGCGAGCTCAACATTTAGGAACAGCGATTCACTAATCAACGATGATGTATTCTTAAATTTTGCCAAGATAGGAAAAAATCCAAATGTAATTTTGATCAAAGGGCCTAAGTTTTGATGATTCTGATTGTATTTATCCTGGTGATGCAATGTGTTGAGAATCAAATTCTGGATGCACGTTCTGCGAAAGGAATTTTTTTCGAGTTTTGGCTAAGGTTCTTGATCACAATAAGAACTGCTGGATACTTAGATAGCTAGGTAGGTACAAAAGGATGTGAGTGTCATAAGCAAGTGAATATACAGTAATAGTTGGCTCTCTAAGCGGCCGAGTAGTTCCTAGTCGGGGATAGCGAGTGTCCCCGGTCATTAAAAATCCATATAATCCGATTGGTTTTGAAAGATTTATAGAAACTCTGATATCTTTGGATTTCTCTAACCTTGCTGAACCCAAATATATAATTGGTTTTGAAATCTTGTTAAGATTAACAGTTCTGTTCAAAAACACGGGATTTCACACACTAATTTGTTGTCTTGGTATATTCCTCACCAAAAACACTAGCGGGGACATTCGCTTTCCGAGGACACTTTCTTTCTGAGGACACTTGCTTTCTCCAACTAGGAACTAGTCGGCCGCTTAGAGAGCCGATAATTAGTTGTTCTTATACCTCGAAATCCATCCGTCTACTTCAAGTGAAGGAATGAATGGTTTATGTGAATGACCATACATGCGTTGATGGTATGGAGTTCTGGAACTTGCATTTGATGCTTTCTCTAGCCATGGCATTGAACTACGTATGATTGAAGACCGAGACAAAGTGTAGGCTCTCTCCCACCTATGGCGGCAATAATTCTTTACAATAGTCCACTCTTCACGAATATCTCCGGAGCCGGCGCCTTCATCTTATGAAGATATCCGCAAGCCTTAGTCTAAGTCGAACTCATGAAAGCAATGATATGCCGACCATGAAAGAAAATTGACGGCAGCTTGATATCATTGATCATAGATAATGTAGCAGCGGCTTCATGCAGATGAAATACGAAGAATAAAGGAGAATGTGAAAGCCACAGGTCGAAACTAATGCAAGCTCCCGAAACCCATGTAGGCCTGCCACCCCACCACGTCTTCAGCTGCTAATTTTCCGCTTGCATTTTTTTCACACAAGGGGCTGTAGCTGAATATATTTCCACCGTCTCAATATCGAACACAGAATCGCCAAAAGTAATCGCCAAAAGTCGACACCTTCTCACGCTTGCAATGTCCTCCGAGAAACCTACGTACTCCTTGGTCTCTTATTTCGATGACTACTTTCGATATGGAAATGCAGCGGGATGGGAGAATCTTGAATATTACCTTCGCATCCAATGAAACTCAAAAATTGGCTCCTGGCACCACGTAGATCCTCCCTGGGTTGGAGGACTTCAGATTAGAAGTGGGCCGTCTTGTATAGGTTACTAGACAATTGAGTGGAAGATACAGTGGGTTATTTATCGGGGATCAGGCTATGCAGGCTTTCCATCATACCTGCAAAGAACTCGATGTTTCACCAGTTGAGATTCTGGAGAAGTTCCACACGATCCTTCCGGATTGGAGAGGGGTCTTGCACACCTGGGGTTAGGAAAGGACTGATGGATGGCAGGTTATGGGAATAGTGGAAGGGAAGGGATTCTATGATTGGGGTTTGGATAATGGAAGTTGGATGTCGGTTGGATAAAGGGAGTAATCTCAAAGTTAGGAGTATTGTAGTTATCGATTTCAAAAATGATAAACCACTCTGACATTATGGCTCTTACATGCTGGAACCAATGCTTGAGCTAGTTGGAATATCTAATGCAAACTCCCAAAATTCCTGCACCTTCTGTATTCCTATCTGAATGAAGCCACCGCTTGCTTCCTTAATCCCATGTTCCCCGGGTCACCTTCAGAACTCCAGTCATATTTCACCGCTTTCGCTATCATCCGTAACATCTTCAGCCACCATTATTCACTATCCCCGTTCTCACATATATACCAAAACAATCTCGCTTCTCATAACAACATCTCATCGTACGACCTGGCGCAGTGGTCTATACAACAGATTTATAATTGCGCTTTAACCACCGCAAGGTGGGTGAGTGTTGAGGGACAGGTGACCCCGGATCGAAGGGTTCATCTGAGAGAAAAAATCCTGCCAACTCGGGAAATTTCCAGACCCCACCTGTTTTAGCACAGTGCTAAAATAGGTGGTTAAGCGGATTGGTTTGGTTTTTGCAGTTTTGTTCGCCTGGAGACTTTTTGGGTTTGGTTGCTGAAGGAGCGCAAGAGTGATAACGCAAGAGTGAATTTAAAGTGGAATTTGCGCTATGAATCTCGTTGTCGCGTGTCAGTTATTTTGATCAGCATATATGAGTTGTAAGGTGATGGATGTATTTATTGCTTGGAATATGAGATACATACATACAAAGCTCATCACTAATGTCCAAAGCCAAGATTTTGAGTGCAAGTAACTCAATTCCTTTTGGGAGTTTGAATTTGGCGTTGTGGATTTACGTGTATTCAGGATGTCCTCTCTTGATACTGACCGGTATGAGTTATATTTTTTCTGGATGCGAATGACGACGAGTCTACCGATGAAATGATTGAGCTTCACTTATTACTCTCCACTAGAGGAACTTCAGCATCTCGAATTGCACATGTCATTTCTTTCCAAATTCAATGTGTCAATCTCCCGAACCTCTTTGGAAGCGCAAATACATAATCA